CGGGGCGGGGGGGGTGAGTGGGAGGGGTAGAAGTCCACACATCTAGGAGGATTCTTGCAGTAAGCAAGAGACTCAGGAACTGGGAGTCCCCCAGAAGAAAGCCATATTCAGATGGCAGTTCATGGGATTTATGGCCAGAAGATGGAGTCGGGCTCCCAAATTTTAGCAGGGCCAAGCCAGGAGAGCACAACTTTTTTTCAGTCAGTCCTAGCAATACGAAGCCAGACGCTGTACTCCCAGAAGTGTATGGGGCTTGAGCAAACTCAGCAGGGCCAGGACCAAAGAATATTTTGATTTAGTTGATTTTTCATTTAATTGGCATCACAGGCTAAATGTGCTTAATAGAGTCAATCTCTATTCCACTGGAAAAGTATAGTTTGGCCACAACTTTCTCAGGGTTCCAAGGCCAAGGCCGCTAAGGGGCAGGGGCAGCCCCGTGGTCAGGACAGCAAGCGTTGCTAGTCTGTGGCTGACCCACCATGACCCCCATCCCCTGGGCCAGGGAGGCCTTGCTCCCGTGACCCCTCACGGGCAGCAAGAAGAGGCCTGAAGGTGAGACCTTGACTTTGCTGTACACAGGGCTAGCCTTATTCTGGGCAGCCGCTGGGAAAAGCCGTCCCCCTCGTGCCTTTTGGGAGACAGCTCAGCTGGGAACCACAGACACGCCTGGGCCACGCCCAGCGGGGAAGCACAGCAGCTGGTTCGGGCACGTTTGGGCCACTGTGCTACAGACGTGACCACAGCCCAGCTTTGCCCCAAGCATCCCCAGGCTATTCTATACAAACTAGGATTTCCGCTCCATCCTGTGGCCTACTAAGAGTATACGGACACTCTATATTCTATTCTATTCTATTCTATGCTATTCTATTCTATTCTATTCTATTCTATTCTATTCTATTCTATTCTATTCTATTCTATTCTATGTTCTGTTCTGTTCTGCATTACATTACATTTTTAAGCCTGCCTAACTCTGCAATGACTCTGGGTGGGGCAGTGTAAATATAATCATAAAACACAATTAAAAACCCAAATGTCTGGAAGAAAACCATTCTTGAAAAAGAATCAAATGGGCAGGATCCACCACCCCTTCTAACCCAAGGCCTGGGGAAAGAGCCAGGTTTTCAGGGCCCTTTTAAATATAGATAGCCAGATGTATCTTGTGGGGGATGCTGGGACAGAGAAGGCATGCTTCCTAGGTCCCATCAGGAGACACTGACTGAGGTAAGGGGCCTGGACCGTGCCAACTGTGCCCAGTGGTACAGGCTGAGGAGAAGCCATGGAGGCCGATGGTCCCTTAGATAACCAGGCCCCATGCCATGAAGGCAAGCTTGGCAGGTGATCGTCAGTGGCTCGAGCTGCACCTGGGAGCCCATGGACAGCGGCGCAGCTCGCAGCGCATCATTGTCTGGGCCACTGCTTTCTGGACCACTTGCAGCCTCCGAGCGGTTTCAAAGGCAGCCACACGTAAAGCGCATTGGTGACCAGAGCACGAGTGACCACTGGAAGAGTCTGTGCGAGACGGAGTCGTGCAAAGACAGTCTTAGCCATAGCTCCATGAGAGCCCCAAACCGTGCACCTGTTCTGAAGGGGTACGGCGACGAATGGTGAAATGTCCCTGGTCCCAGGGGGTCCCAAACCCCACTCCCCCTGCCCTGGTCTTACAGTGGGCATGCCTCCAAGCGGGGCACCCTTCCCCTCCACCTCCACCTCCACCTCATTGCCAGGTTGGCCACCTCGGTCCCAGTAGGTAGCCAATGGGGAAGTCTGATTACGTTCTAAGGCGGTGCCTCCAGCAACAGCTGGAGCTCAGGGCCACCGAGGATCTGATGCCCTGGCCTCTAGGGTGAACGCTGAGGACCGGAAAGAGGGACAGGTTTTAACTACCAGACCCATCTTCCGCACAGCTCCTCAGCTTCCCATCCTATCTTCCTCTGCTGGCCATGGCCGCGATGGAACTACCTGCCCTCTCACCCCGCCCCTCAGCTCCCCCCGCCCACCTCAGCGCTCACCCGCGGAAGACCCCCAAGCGTTCCACACTCATCCCCCACACCCCCAACATCCACCCTCCAGCTGCTCCTGCATCTGGCGCTCTGAGGACTGTTCCAGGTGTAGATTCCGGCTCAGGGCTAGCCAGAAGCGCATCACTGTCGGGGGGTGGAGGGGACAGAGCTCTCGCTCTGGGGGTGTTTGCACTAGGGCTGAGTGAATCCCACCAACCCCCAGAGCACCTTTCTCTCCACCGGCCCTCGCCCAGCTGCTCCAGAGGCTGCTCTGGGCAGTCTCCAGGTGGGCCCGCGTCTACAGCCCCTGCGCCTGCCAGAAGCAGCTCCCAAAACCTGGGGAAAAACGCGGCTGCTTTAAATGGTTCAGAAGGAGGTGCTGCATTCGTGCTCCTGCCTCTCTTCCAAGCATTGCCCAGCCTCGTTTATCAACCTGCGTTCCCAATTTGCTGGCATTCGGGGGCCATTCTTGAGACAACCCCCCCCCCGCACTGCCTCTGCCAGCATGCTGGTCCCGCAAAAGGCCATCGGGGAGAAGAGGGATGCAGCGACGCTGGCCGGAGCCGAGGAGAGAAACGAGCTCCCTGGAACGGGTTTCGTGGAACAAAGGGGTCATGGAGACGCAGAGACAAAGGAAGGGGGAGCCCACGCAGGGAGCAGATGGAGGGAAACAAAGTCAAGCCAGAAGCTTAACGAAGAACAAATGTCATTTGCACCAGCCTCTTGGTGCGGGGGGGGGCGACTCGGAGGGGAGCGTGAGTGCGACCGGGGGGGGGGGGGGGGGGGGGG